ATAAAAATTCATAGTTTAGAACCAATCTAGGCATACTGCTAAACATATAGACCACTTCTGGCTCTCACTTAATTTGTTTTGAACAAAGTTTTCAAGTTAATTGCTATTAGTTGAATCTTTATTTTCTGTAAGGATGAGTTTGTAATTTGGTGTTCTATTCCTGGAGATCCTTTTTTTTTAAATCATAAAACATTAAAACTGGTTATGAAAATACATGAGGAAATCTTTCATGTATATGTAGTGTAGGGGAGGAAGACAAATCCTCTGCCCGCTAGGTCCATCTGGCTGGGCTACGAATTAAATTCACGTGAGACTAAGAGGAGAAAATAATGGGAGAAAAACAGGAGAAAATCAAACAAAGCTTTATAATGTATACGCAGGAGAAACCTAGGAAAACTGGGTAACTCTCAGAATGCCGAGGTTCTCATCTTAAATACCATCTTCAGCTAAAGACAAAGGAGGATGTAGGGGGTTGGAGGAGTCAGTTATGAGAGATTATTAGAAAAGGACAGTACCCAAGAGTAAGGTTATTATGCAGATTTAAGTCCTTGCCTGCACATTGATAAGTTTCTACTGATAAAGTCATCCCCCCTTCTTCCTGGTCCAGAGAGGGAGACACCTTTACAAATGGTGATTTCCTTTACAAATGTAAATCTCTCTTACAAAGGGTAACTTCTACTTCTACTTGATTTTCAGAGCTTTTCCCATGTCTGCAGCTTTTAAAAGTAACCAGTCCAAAATAATCCTTATACCAAAGAGACACATTTTGGGGTGGCCAATTATGATCCCCCACAGTAGCTTTTACAGGTATGTATTAGGTATTCAAAGCTATTTTGTAAGTGAGTTTGGGCTAGTTACTTAATATAGGCCTAGAATGTGAGTAGAACGTGATACTCCTATAGCCCTCATTTGTATATATGTGCCATTGGAGGGGGGATCTTCCTGCAGCGTAGACTGCCTGAAGCTTTGGCAGCTGAAGTTTGGACTGAAGTCTCCCTTTGCTGGTAAATTTCTTTGTAGTGTGAATGGGCATTCATCATTGTTCCAAAACCCTCAAAACTGATTTCAAAATAAGGATCACTTCTTCTTAATTTGTTTTCCTTGCCAATACAGTGTTTACTGGATGCCTTTGAAAATCTTTTATGGTAAATGTTAGGGAAGGAGCGTTTCTAGCTTGACTTCTTCAGTGGTCCCTTACTCTTCCAGCCCAATAAGAAATTAAACTCTAATTCTTTCTAATCTCTATTAGCTTCTTATGCGCAGCTCCTATGTGCAAAAGCCACAGTGGTTGTAATTGATTGATCCATTCATTCAATAATACTGAATGCATCCTATGGATAAGGCACTCCTGTAGGGACTGAAGAGACAGCAGAGAACAAGAGACAAAAATCCACGTCCTTATGGCACTTGCCTTCTAGTGGAGTGAGGTCAACCCTAAACTGAATAAACAAGTATATATGATATATTAGAGCGCTATAAGTGCTGTGCAGAAAATAGAATAAAAGGATGGGAAGTGTAGGGTGAGAAGGTTCCATTTGTAAAGAGGGTGGGTGGGATAGAACTCACTGAGCAAGTCACCTTTGGGCAAAGACGTGAACACAGGAAGGGAGTGAAAAGAGGATTCCCAGACTTTGGAACAGTGAGTGCAGTGCAAAAGTTGAGGCAGGAGAGGGCTGCCAGCACTCACAGAGGGGCGTGGGGGTCAGGGAAGCAAGGGAGGCCAGATTTAACGTGGCCATTGGCTCTCATCCTGAGGGAAATGGGAGACTCACTGCGGGGTTTTAGCTGAGGAATGACATGATCAACTGACCTTCGAAAAGCATCACTCTGGCTTATAATCGGAGGTTTTGTTGTCACTTTAGCAGTCTTATTTATGACACTAAAGTTTGCAAAGTAGAGCGCTCACAAGTTAGGGCAGCATTTTTGAGTGGACCATGTACTGAAATGTTCTAGTCCTTGGGACACAAAATATTCCTACCCACCGACTGCCATCCTGCTTCAGGAATTATATTAGGCTCCTTAAGGAAAGTGTAAGTTCTGTTTTTATTGTAGCCTCACATGTTGTGCCAGTGTGTGCTCAGTGATGGGCACTGTCTGCTCTTTGCAGATTGACTCTGGATATGGGAGGCTGAGGTTCTGTATACATATGTGTACAGAATACATGTCCAGACCAAGTTTCCACAGTCCAGATTCAGTTTGTAAATTACTCAACAAAATTATTCAACTGCTATATTGGACCTTATGCTTAAGGATCATTACCATTAAGAATAAGTAATGAGGGTCAGCCCTGGTGGCCTAGTGGTTAAGTTTGGCACACTTTGTTTCAGTGGCCCAGGTTCAGTTCCCAGGTGTGGACATATACCACTCTGTTAGTGGCCATGCTGTGCTGGCATCCCACATACTGAAAAATAGAGGAAGATTGGCATGGATGTTAGCTCAAGGTGAATCTTCCTCAGGAAAAAAAAAAAAAAAGAATAAATAATGAATGACTTCTTCATCAATGAGCTCATGACCTTGGGAATATGTAAGAAAGTTTTATATAGGATTTTTGCTGTTTTTACTAGGCAGGAAACAGAAATATAACTCTGTTCCTTTGAATTGACTCCTATCAGACTGTTTTCTCTTGACTTCTGTCTCTTTTTCTTTATCTTTTTTGTTTGTTTTTAGCAGATACTTTGTTTAAGACAATCTACTAATAGAAGCTCAGGAAATGTCTTCTGCTAAATGTCTTCTCATAAATGTGCTTGTTCTGTTTAAATGGTTAAGCATCTAAGTAGAAAAGTTAAATTACTTAACATAACATAGCCCCTTCCATCTGAAGGCTAGGCATGTGAGGTACAGTCTAAACCCAGCATCCTTCACATGCGTCAGTGAAGTCAAATCTGTTTTATCTTCAAATAATTTCTTTGGTTTTCGGTAGAGTCCACTGAGAAGTCAGTTTGTTTCCTAAAAATAAAAATGGGAAAAAAATAGAATTTCTGCTTGATTACTTGGAAAAACATGGGGAAAATGTTTTCAAGTAATTAATCCTGCTATGAGTTGATATCTTTGCCGTATCACTCTCTTTGGTTCTGCCTAGGGTAACACAATATTTTTGCCACCTGGTAACCATTTAGTGGCTTGCTGTCTGTCAAATTGGAATCATTAATCTAAGATCCACAAAACACACTGACCTCATCAAGAACTATCAGCCACATTAATCACATGGTGAGTAGTAATTAATGCCCTTGCTGCATGTCTCAGCAGATGCCAAGTGGTGACTATGCCCAGAGACAGAGCCACTTGGTGGGTGGTCTGAAGGTGATATTCTTTTAGGATGGACTGAGACACATGTTGGTTGGAAACTTGCTGCCCAGATGAATGAGAAAATCAAGGACTCCCTTCCTTATTTGTCTATCTGTATTGCCTCGAGCATGCCTGATGTGTGTGTGGATATCTTCGATGGCCCTGGGCAAAGCTAACCAGCCCTACTCTGTGCCATCACTGGCTCTGACATATTCCCCCTAAAGCACTTATCGTAGAGATTTCCCATTCTGGATTTCCCCTCTCTCCCACTAGTCTGTGAGCACCCAGAAGGCTGAATATATGTTGTATTTATGTTTCTAACTGTGGACTAGTGCAGTTCCTGGCACTTATTACTGTACTATTAGGTACCTAGTAAATGAAAGATTGAATGTGCATATGAATATGCAACATATATAAAGGAACTATGATAAACAGATTTCCCTCTCAGGTGTAGGCTGATTGGTGTCATATTCACATACTTGTTGCCTAGCAGTGTGTGGGGCACAGAGAAGGTGATCAGTAAATGCTCACTGAAAGTCTGTACTTCTTGGGGCTGGCCTGGTGGCACAGCAGTTAAGTTCACACATTCTGCTTCGCTGGCCCAGGGTTCACTGGCTCGGATCCTGGGTGCAGTCCTATGCACCGCTTATCAAGCCATGCTATGGCAGGCATCCCACATATAAAGTAGAGGAAGATGGGCATGGATGTTAGCTCAGGGCTAATCTTGCTCAAAAAAAAAAATGTATTTCTTGACAAGACGTCAGTAGGCTACCTGTCTCCCCTTGGAATGTTCTCCTGATAGTGTGCATATTGGCAAATGGGGTCAGCTGCCAAATGAATTTTTAAAAGACATTTATGTCAAAGTAAAAATATTTTGTAGGAGGTTAGAAACTGTAAACAAAAACGACAATAGCAAACAATCCTGGAGAAGTACTTATTGTAAGTGAAAATATTTATGTAGTTTCACCTAAAAAGAAGAATCAGTGAAAGTCCCAGATGTGTTTTCCGAGTTCTCTGAAAACTTCTTATGAAAAGGAAATACAAAGGATCCAAAATATAACTTCCCTCTCCAAAACAATTAAAAACCACACAGACACAGACACACACAGACACACACAGACACACACACAAAACTAACTCTAGAAATGTTATGATGTTACAATCTCATTTTTACTGTAGCCAATAAAGACATTGAAACAAAATAAAACATACCTTTCTACTTCCAGCTAAAACAATGAGAAATAAATATACATTTTTTATGTTAGAGGACTTATGAAGCTTATGCTAAAGAGACAGTTTTTGCCAGTGGAACTAAATCAATTATACTTAAATACTTATTAATGAATAAATGAATTTATTAAATAACCTAATAGAGTTTCCCTTTTCATTCTCAGAATGTACCATATGTAAGGAAACTTTGAAATTCCCTCATGATTTTACTGAGCTTCATTTTTAATAGAATAAGTGTTTAGCGTATATCAGCCTTTCTGCGGCTGGGGGAGTGGTGATCGATGAAGAAAATATCTCTAATTTTCCTTACTGATTTAAAGCATTTTAAAAATTCTCAACAAAAATGACAGGCAGCCAGGGTGAAAAGTGAATGAGGCAGAAGAGGCACTCAGGACTTGTCTTTCTCATTTAGTGGCTAGTGCCTTCCCGACCTGCTGCTTTACTCACTTGATATTCTGATCAATTATTCAATTGTTTGGTTTCAGTCTGATCACCCCATCACGTCGTCAGCTGGTTGGGTGTCTCTCTAGGGCTCCTGGTCTCCACTTCCTTTTCACACCTGTGGGAGGCCTGCTGCTTAAAAATCACCTGATCGAGAAAGGTAAATGTTACCCTCCCCTGTCCTTTCCACTTTGCTGATTTCATTTTGGGATGAAGATACATCTGAAATAATTAAATTCAATAATTTAATTTCAGAAGTAACATATGTATGTTCAAAATGGGGTATTAGTTAGGGTAAGTCATTTCATCGAATTTAAAACAGTCTTTCACGTCTATCCATTCCACCCCTTGTAACCTTTCTAAGCACTGAACTGTGTCTCTGCTTTCAAGGTTGCCCCCTCTGGCTTGTAATACACAGTGCCTATGATGTGGATATATTTTATTTCTTTACCTGCTTTAGAGTTTTTTTTTAAAAGGTGACAATAACAGAACTTTAACTCATGTAATCAAAATATGGAAAGCAGTTATTTGTACCTGTTACTGTGTCATGTGCCTAAACATTTTTATGTCAGAAAGCATAGGTCATCTGTATTTGCCTTAAGAAAACATGCTGGAGACACTTAGCATTCCCTTTTATTAAACAAATAATTTCATAATTCCCACCCTGAGAAGGTGCTTTATCGTAACACATGTATCTATTTTATTTACCTTGGGTTCATTATAAGGAAAATTAAAAATGATCAAACCCACAGTTTATTTTTCAAGTATTCTGATAAATGGTCTGGGCAAATACAGTTTCTCAAGTTGTATTTCAGCCTCCTGCCATTTATTTTCCTGGACTGGAGCCTATCAAGTTGAAATGTATTGGTACTATCGCCTGAAATGAGGTTTGGAGGATATTTGAGGAATGAAACCTAAAATTCAGTAGGGAAAATTGAGAGGATTATATTGAGTAAAGCCTAGTAAACTGTAGTATTTGAACTGAGCTAATAGACAATGGAACAGAAAAGCTATAAATTTGACAAATTACTGTATAAAAGGCAGTAAAAAAGCTCAGTTATCAGAATTTGGTGCTGATAATATATGGATTAGCTGAGGAAAAAATGAGTACATACGTGTCTGGTTTTCCTGGTGTTTCTGTATGAGGGTCATAAGGTATTTCCATAGCTGATCCAGTACATTATAGGTACCTGATTAAAGTAAACTCCACTGGCGTTAATGCAAACGTGGAAAGCAATTCATCAGATGGAAAGAAAAGGTAAGCACTGCCTAGCCACGGAGAGTTGAGAATTTTTATATAAAAGAAGCCATATCTGAAATGGATTGTCTGTTTAAAACAGAAAGCGAAATAACTAATTCAGCTCTCCTATTGATCAATATTGCCAGTTTTGGTTTCAAACTCCAGGACACAGATGAGTGAAATAAGTTAAACTGCATAGCACAATGTTATGGCATGTTGTAGATAAATAAACATAAACTTGGGCCATAACAATGAACAGTAAAACCACTACATGGGTATTGGACTTTTTGAAATATGTTTTGTTCTTAGAGTAAAACCTCTGAAGGACATGATCGTGTTTTAAAGGTCTTGTTTAATGATTAGAGTGAACCACATAAAGTGGATTGTGAAAGAGTTAAAGAACAAACGTTGAAAATGATTTTTCCGCAAGTACAGTGGCAGTTTGAATGCCAGCTGCAGCTTTTGCAAAATAAGCATGAGCGTTTGACCCTTGTCCCATAGTAGTTGTGGAAGGGAGAAGGGAGAAATCCTGAAAGGAGGACAGGGAAAGGTCACAGAGAGAGGATGTGTGTGTGTGTGTGTGTGTGTGTGTCTTAGCAAGGGGTGGAACTGGGGAAGGGACATGGAGTAGAAAAAATGCTCCCAGAGGAACTTGCCCTGACTGCTATGCTTTATGACTGGATGCTCAGGGCAAGCTAAATAACTTCTAACGTGCTGAAAAGAGAGAGAACAGAGAGATCAGTGGAAACTGAAGGTCAAGAAAAACCCCAAAGGGAAAAACATATTCAAAAGCATGAGTGGACGAGCAAACTGTGATGCTAGAGTGGGTGATATGGTGACTGGTGGTCAGAAAGTTCAGGGAAGTGTGGCAAGTCATGCCATGGAGGCAAGCGCCATCTTGAGAGCTGTTTCTTGGAGCATTTCAACTGCAGTCTGTGGAGGTACCTGGGGAGAGCACCAGAAGAAGAGTCCAGGTGACATAGTCCCAGCGTGAGTAAAGAACAGGAGAAACGGTCCTCTCAGCCCACAAGAATACTCTGTACCAAATGCAAATTGTAGTGAATAAGTGGAGAGTTGGTTTTCATGACCGGTTAGGAAGTTCCTCCCACACAGCAGTGCAGAACAATGTGTGAATGTGGAAGTGCAAAGGGATGGAGATAGATGAACGATAAGAGAGCAGTAGTAGCAACAGTTCAGTCTGGACCCTTGTACATTAGACATTTATGTAATTTCTGTAAGTAGATTTATGGATTTATGTAAGTAGAGATAAGATCTGAGAAATTTTACAGCTCGTTATATTTAAAGCTTCTATTTCTATCAGTAGAAGACCACTTTGATAAACGTAAGAAAGATAAAAACAGACCTGGTGTTGGCACTAGGACTTTGTGTGAAGAGAGATTGCTGATTAGAAGAGAATCCTACCAGAGAAATCAGTGTTATCATTAATTCTGTATGTACTTACATCAGTCATTTAGAAAATTACCATGTATATTACCATTTATAGCATTTTTTCTTCCATTTTTCTTTCTTTTCTATTATAGTTTAAAGATTTACCCAAAATCTCAAGTTGAAAAACTCCATTAAGTTATAAGGTAAAAATGTCTCAATCTGAGTGAATACAAGGTGATCACACAATCAGTTGTCTGTTTCATTCGTTTCTTCATCCATCCATCCAGCAAATATTTATTGCAGATATACAGTGTACATGACACTGGAATACAGGTATTAAGAAGATATCCTGCCTGCCTTGAGTTTACAGTGTATAGATAAGAAAACCAACATTTATTGAATGCAGAGAGATCAGTGTCTCAGGAAGCCTGCATGGGGTGCTATTGGAAATGATGGAAGGTCCTGAGTTTGTATACTGAGACCCAAAATAAGTGAAATACTTTTTCTCATATCTAACATTCTAAGCATAAGACTGCAGCGCTGGTATGGTGGTTCTATAGTATCAAGGCTCTAGGCTCCTTCTGTCTGGTTGCTTTGCCATCTCCAGTGTGTTGCTTCATGCACATGGTCCACGATGGTTCCTGTCCACATGCTTACTCCTGTCAGCAGGAAAGGGGAGGTGGAGGGGAATGAAGCCACTGAGAATTCTCTTAAGAGCACAGCTCGGAAGATGAACACATCCTTTCAGCTCACATATCATTGGCCAGAAATTAATTTTATGGCCATATCTAACTGAAAGATAAGTGAGAAATGGAAATATATTCTTTCTTGTGGGTGGCCATGACTTCAGCTAAAAATTGAGTTTTATTTCTATGAGAAACAAGCAAGTAATGAATTAGGCAGCAGGTAACTAGCAATCTCTGCCAGAGAACCTGTTTCAGTGTGAGTTAACAGAAGGCTCTTCAAGCATGAGTTGGTGTTTGCTAGGCCAACCACATGGGAAATGGTGCTCCAAGACGAGCATGTTCATTAAGTAACTGTGTACCTAGACCTGAGCAAAGTGTCTTCCAGTGCACCAGTTATGTGTATACTTGTTACCTTCAGAGAGCTGAATAGGGACCCACCCTAATTGGGATAAAATGGTACTCAAACAGACTATTCTTCTTTTTGGTAATGTGATATTGCTTTTATGCTAAAGGAGCAAAATTATTGAAGGATACATGCTCATGGTCTTTGACCTTCCTTCTACTCTGTAAGGGAAATTCTTTGTTGTCATTGCCAGGTTCCTGGGCTTCTGATGTACTTACTAGGACATTGGGTAGAAATATAGCATGAAGAATTCTGTTCACATAAGAAAATGCTTCTCCTGGAGGGCAGTAATGGAACAGAAGGCTGGAGTGCTTTTGGAAACACAAAGATGGAAAATTTAGGGGATCGATTGCTTCAATTCTGGGAGTTAAGAGAAAAATCTATCCAAAAAAGATTATAGAAAAAGTTTCTTTGTATTATGTGTTGTATTCCTGGTCCCTGTTTTTGCCGCCTTTTTAAGACATTTCAGTAAACTCATATATTATTCTTTGATATTTTGCTTCATCTGACATGTATTTCTTTTGGATGCAAGAGCTGTGCTGAGGTAAGGTTTAAGCCCAGGGTAGGAAGACACCATTTTACTTGAAGGATTTAGGATATTACTCTTGCCCAAGTGTTTTTTGAACTTTTAAAAGTCAATAAGCTGAATAGATGGCTGCCCATATAATGAAATCTTGTGTTCTAGAAAAAAAATTCATCAAACTCTCTCCCCTGCCCAGTTTCCTAGAATCTGTCTTTTGATATTCTGCCTTTTGGATTAAGCAGTGACTGACTGATAATTCTCCATAGATGCGTCTATTCCTCAGTGAGGTGACTTATTTAGTCCCTAACATTTTAGTGTATATTGATTTAAATTTCAGTTATTTGATGATGGAGAAGACTAGGATCTCAGGACAGAGGTGAGAGAACTCCAAGCCGAGGGGAGATATCCTAAGTCGGGGTGGAGTGAAAGTGTGGAAGTGCGAGGTGAGAGTATCAAAGACAAGTTTCATCTATTCACTTTTTTGCCGAAGGCTGACAGCCACAGAAATTAAAATATGTAAATTAAAAAACAAACAAACATGTGTTTCTCAAGGAATGACTTCACAGAAGTAAAAGGCAATATTTCTGACCAGAAAGACTATTTTTTTTTTCCATGTAGTATTACTTCTTAAGGCAAAGTTTTCTCTGGAAAAAATGAAAGACATTTGCTGAATTTTCTCTAAGTACACTTCTGTGCCTTTCAACAAATATGAGAAAAGCTAGAAAGGAATCTTCCTTCCATGAAAACCTATTTTTATAGGATGAATTTAAAAATGCATCCTGTTTGTCAAACTATGACAATGATTTATCAAACTTGATAGACCTCAGTGCTGTTGGTGGTCTTCTTTCATTTATTTACTGTAAGCAATCCCTCTTCTTTTGACAAATGAATACAAACAGCATTTACAGACTGACATATT